ATGCTCATATAATCAATACAAAAATAAGTGCAAAAGGTTTTATAACAAGTAGAAATCAAAAACTAAGATATGTTGGTGAATACAACCAACCACCATGCAAGTTACATTACAGCTCCACTGAGATATCAGTTTTCCAGTATTCCTCCCTACTTATCTTTAGAGATTGGACATTTTATGTTTTTACCTAGAAATGCCAAATCCCTTAAAATACCAGACCTTTATTCTCTCTGACCCAAAGCAACAGTAAGAGAACTTAAAAACTTAACAGCTAAACTAGCCATTATTCATTAGCCATGACACTCTTGCATTAACCAATGTATAAATCAGCAGTTGTAAACGATTCAAAAAATTGAGCAACAGTGAGACTTGATTTGAGAGCAGAATCATACAGAATCAAGTTTTTTCCAAAGGTGGCAAATTAAATTCCTATTAAAAAAAAAAAAAAAAGAAAGAAAAAAAAGCAAGGAAGTTGTGGTTTAGAGCATCTCTATCAATTAGTAATTATGAGGTTAAACACAGTGCTGTGCCTCTGTATTTCAAATGTCACTCATGGATATTATTTAGTCTAATCCTCTAGATTTTCTTGAGAAAATTTCCCTGCAAGTACAGTATTTGGTTAAGTTGGAGAGTATATGCAAAAACATCACTTGATCTTGTCAGCTTTGGCACATATGCTTGGCATTGTCTGTGACAATTAGACATAGGAGAACTGGATACACGTAGGCGTCACATGTCACAACACCACTCCTCCTGCAAGCACTTGCTTCGTTGATTGCCCATGCCACCTGCTTCAGACTGCAGGGAAGGCAAACCTCCTTCACTGCTCTCTACTTGGCAAGGTATTTCAGGATCATGGCCAGGGCTGTGCTGAAGAAACTGCAGGCATGGGGCATTGTAAAGTGTAGGATCAAAGGAACCACGATGCCTCGATCTGAAGGCAGAGAGGAGGAGTCTGGTAGTCAGCAATCTTTAAGCTGCTGGTCATCTTCTAGAAGCCACCAAGACTCAGTGAGTGAGATGATTTTCCATATGATAAAGGGAGGGCTACATGCCAGGAACAGACATTCCTCTGGGAAAACAGTAGATTGGAAAACCTGGGAAAGCTATATTTAAATGCAAACTGATAGGGCTCAGAGCCTGGGTGAACAAGAAACAACATCCACGAGTCACAAGAGAAAACGGACAACCTCCCATAAATATTTTCACTTTTAGTTGAGTCTGACTGGTTTGTTGTAGCCCTCAGGCTGCTCTCTGGCTGTGCCTAAGGCAGGACATGCCTCAAGCTCTGCACAATTCCCAGACTTTGTGTCAATAGTCTTTACATACAGGCAACCTTCAGATCCCCTGACACGTGACCATGCAACCCTATATCATAGGTGATGTCAGTATTCCCTTCCCACACTCTGCTACTTTCTCTTGTGAAGTAACTAAAAAACATAAACATTTTAGTAAGGCAAGAAGGTTGTCAGTGCTTTCTGCTCATGACCAGACTGCCTGCCTATAACATGCCCCTCACACCCCTGCTTTTTGGGGCAGCCCAGACTGACCATGAAACTGATGGACTGTCAGAAGCCCCTTTAAATTCCTGTCCATCTGCTTCCTACACCTGAGGACTTCCACCAGCCAGGGCAAAAAATGAGCAGATCAACATAACAGAAATGAATGCAAGCCATGCCAATGAAAACACCATTTAAATGGGTGAATTTGGTGAGAGCAGGATCCTAGAAAAAAAAATTAAGAACTAATACAAAGCCCACTAGGGTTTTAATTGTAACTATCCCACTAGCCTGCCCCAGACACAGTAGCTAAACCATGGCATTTGTTTCCTGATGCAAGTTCCTGATAGAAATACACTTCTGTGACCTAACAGATTAAGAGGGGAATGATTCAGTAATTGATCCATACAGAGGTGTAAGTCCTACAGTACACAGTCCCTTCACCCAGCCTGCCCACCTCTGCTCAGTTCTGCTCTTTGCTCAGCTCTGCCCCACTTCTTATATAGCAATTGGTTGCACCTGTGGAGAAGGTTGCATTGCTGGTGGTAACCCCCTTCATTTCCTTTTAAAAACTGCCTCCATACCTAGAGACTAAAACTAGTGTTTAGTACAAGGTATCAGGAAGGATACATCAAACCCTCGAAACTGAAAGAAAGCAATGGGGAAGAGAAGGATCCTCTCTCAGAAGTGATGTAGTACACAGATTTGTTTGCCCACTCAGAGCCTGACCCTTCTCACCCTTGCCTAGGCTGCATCAATCCCCATTTACCCCTGGAAGGGCATTTACCCCACACTGTGCCCAAGGAACTAAACTCCCTCTGCAATTCCTAGGTGTACACAGCATGGTACAAGAACAGGGGGTGAAAAGGGCTGTGATGCTCCTTAGAAGGATCCAGTCCAGGATGAGTGGCTTGCAGAAGTACAACCCAGCCCCTGTAGTCCAGTGGGGCCATTGCAGGCCCTATGGCAATAGGGTGGGGTCCTGGTTGCTCCTCCCCAGGCTCTGGCAGCAGTGTTGTTTCACTGCCCCTCCACAGCCAGCCCTGACTGTGAGGCTGGGTGCAGACCAGGGTCCTCCAGGCTCATTTTGATTTGCAATAGCCACTTATAAAATGGACACTGTCACTTTGCAAAACACAGAAGAAGCCAACAAAGAATATTATTTCACTCCTAAAGTAGTTTATCATAAATAAGGTTGTCAAACTCGATCTACAGTCCATCTGTGTAATTGAGGAATACAAGTTTCAGCTATTATTAAATTTAAGGTCAGTCATCTCACTATACAGCAACTGTTTAGGCAGTAAGATTACACCTGATGAGAAGCATTCCTTTTAGAAAGTTTTTTTTTGTTACTGGTAAAATTCATCTTCGGGTGGATCTCTTTCAAATCCACTTAATAATATTTGTCCTGGAAATACACAAGGTATTCCCCAAATATCTGTACAAGAATTTTTTATCCCTGAGCCTTTTATCAAATAAAGGCTTAGATACAGAATGCAGCAGCTACCTGAAGCATTACACATTTTTTGTAAAATGTATTTAAAAAGGATTCAAGTGTTTTTCCAAAATAAATCATCCAGTTCAACCTTGTGATATCAACCTTAATGCAAACTGCACCTTTATTTTCCAAACAGTCAAGAGTTAATAGTCATATTTAATTTATCAATTACATAAAGTTATGGCCAGGCTAGTTTTTGCAGCTCTAATATTCCCCCAAAGAATACTCTGTGATTTAAATCATTTGGTGCCATGGGAGAAGGGCTTTTCAAAGAGTTTACAACCTACGTTCTCTTCTTCTGCAGAAGCTAATTGCCTATGCATAATTTAATTTTATCCATATAGATTTACGTCCTTTTTCTTCACTTAATATTCAGATGACTCTTACCACTTTCTTGTGAGATGGGAAAAATACTGTAGTCCTGCCCTTGCACTTCAAGCCCTGCAGTACCCTGTACTCTTTACTGCACTTAACGGTATTTTTGCCTGAATGTCTTGTATTTTCGATTTCATTTTGCACTAGTCTGAAGATCAATAAAGGGAGGTGACTCCAAGACACAGTAATTTTAAGTACATAACTATTGTGCAGATGCTACAACTTTAATTATCCAAGCAGGCTTATGAACCTGTCCAAACAAAACATGATAAACAAGCTGCTTACACAGTGGCAGCAACAGGATCAAGATCAATTAATTTATGTCCATAAACATTGGTTGCAGCAGCAGAACTAATTGGGTATATCCTCAGAAGTGTATCCCATACAGATACCTTGCTGAGGGAAGTCAGCTACCTTCTTAAGAATTAACTGTGTTACATTGCCTTGCATGGATTTTCACACAGATGAAAGATAAGTCTTCAAATTGTTTTCTCTGATTCCTTTTTTCTTTTTTTTGGCTGAACATATATAATGCACTAAAAAATAAGATTAAAAAATACAGTAGTTTTTTGTAGCTAAATGTTTACAATCGCCCAAGTAATGACCTATGGACCAGAGCAGGTCTCCGTAAATACAGATGTGGTCTGGGATGGTGATTCAGAAAGATGGTACCTGAGATACTGGTTAACAGATAAATAGCATTTAGCAGCTTCTTGGTCAGTTCCAACATCTCTATCCAGAGATACCATCTCAGAGGTTTTGCCTGCAAAGGAAGTGCAATTGCTTTAATTATGCTGGAAAATATTTACTACCTGGGAAGCAGTCATGCCAAGACTGTAAACGACTAACACTATATAAAAGGAAATAATGTACAATGCAAAGTAAACATCTCCCAGTTTGACAGTTAAGACTACCTTGGTAAAATAACTTTTGTTAAAAATATAAAATGTTCTGAGAGAGTTAATGCTACAGTCTAAGCCCATTCCTGAATATGGAGACAAGTCTGCTAAGGACTTCCATATCAATACAAGGCATAGCCTTTAATTCTGCCTATAAAGGACCCACAGAGGCTCCATTTGGGGGCTGTGGGTACCAGGGTGCACTTGAAGGTCTCCTGACACATTCTCTGCAGAGCTCAGCCTAAAACAGGAGCACTCCGAAAATCTACTTAAGCCCCTCTTGGAGGCAACTTACCAAGAAAAGCAAGAGAAACAGGCATAGAAAAAGAATCTCAAACCACAACTTCTGGTTTTAGAGCATTTTAATTACAGTTCCAAATCCCACCCCATTCTTATCTCATATACTCATCCATTTCGTAACTTGCTCGAGTTTGTCAATATTTCAGCTGGACACAGTCACCCTACCTGCTTCGTCATAGAGTTCTTTTTTCTTGTGTTGATGGCTGACCTCTCTCCTAACAACAACTTCAAACAGAGCAGAAACTTTCTCTCACCCATGATGTCTCTCTGTACTCTCTATTAGGAGGCACTAACTGCTTCCTTCCCTTAAAGTAATCTAACTTATGCATTCATACCATGAAATTTTTTTATTATCCTACTCAATAATTCTTTTTTGTAGAAAAATATTTTGTTCAAAGGCACTGGGCGGGCAGAGACATCACAAACACTGGATCCAGTTGCTTTCAGTATTTCTTCTTTACTAATGTGTCAAATCACTTTTGGGGCAGGTCACCCGAATGAATGCAGCACAACAGGTTAGGCATGTCTCAGTCTGTTTTCAGTCACAGAACACTACAGGATTTGTTAACTGGCATAGATATAGACTGCACTGTCATAGTGCTATCGAAACACAGATTGTGGAAACCATGGCTATTAAGCTAGCTAAATAAACATTAAAACTACATGTAGCCAAAGAGTCAGCTATTCTCACAGCAAATAATACTGCAAAACAAACAAACAAACAAAATCCAAAATATTATGATAAAAGATAGAAGTCATAATAATTAAATACATCAATTATTTCTGTTCTGGTATAGTAACAAAAGGATTTGGAAAGCTTTACAGAAATGGGATTTCTGAACTATGCTGATGCTTTGCAATTCCTCATTCAGAGGCAACCTCTGTATCAGGCATGAGGAGTAATTAGCCACAGTACTGGATGAAGGTGAGTGCTATCAGTTGCAATACCTCCTCTCAGCTCAACAGATGGATGTCATTGGATGGATGTCTGGGAGCTATAGCTCCCAGACCATTTTAAAGAAAAGCTTGGATCAACTTACAGTAGTCTAACCTGCAGAAAACACTTATTTTTAAGACATTAAAAACCCCCAATTTTTTACTTGTGAGGGTGGTCAAACACTGGCATGGGTTGCCCAGAGTCTTCACCCTTGGAGATATTCAAAACTCATGAGTGCTCAGGCTGACCCTCCTCTGAGCTGGGAGGTCGACTAGATGATCTTCAGGGGGGCCTTTCAGCCTCTTCCATTCTGTGATAAATAAAACCAGTTAGTGGATCTATATTGCCTATATCAGGGAGCCCAAAACTTCTCTCCAATTCCACATTTCTTATAATGAGATAATCTAAGAGATGAACTCTAGATCCAAGGGACATGAAAATTATTGGTTTGTGACATATTCATGGCTAGGCTTCGCGAATGAAGATTTGAGAGGGGCTCTGCCCACGCTTGCTCCAAGCACGCTGATGGTTAAAAAGGCCAATGCGAGATAGACAAGTCCGGTTGCAGAAGGCACAGCAGAAAGACTCCCCAGGTGATATCGACGAGACGCGATTCTTTCTGCATTGTCTTTTCTCCTCGAGAGTGATCCTGCGTGTGTTCTCAAAAGCAGCAGCAGCGTTAGAGATGGTGTGTCTCCAGGCCTCCCGATTGGAGGCCAGAGTAGACCAATGGTGATGATCAGTGACATATTACTTGACAATCAAAGACTGAGCGACACAAGAGGTAAACAGTAGGAATGTGCAGAACAGCCAGCGCTGGGGAAAGGCATTATCTCTGCCTCTTTCAGCAGCAGCTAAGCATTAGACCAGCTGAATCTGTTTCTTGGTATGCACATAAAAAGCAAAAGATGGGAGTGTGAGAGAAAATAACTACAGAGATATAAGACAGGACAAGTGAAAACAAAATACATGTGCTCATCAATCATTGAACGTGGATTAGCTGTAAAACAACACTCATAAATGCAGTCCATACTTCCTAACAGGGATTCCACTCTCATATGAAAAGATTTGGAACACATGATGAAATAGCAAGAGACGGGTGTCACAAATCTATTAAGTCACGTGGTCAGCGAGTGATCTCTTGCCAAGAATTGCACGAACCACTTCAACAAATACTTAAAAATGAAGCAGATGAGGTCTGAAGGAAAGATCTTGTAACACTTCCAAGCCAGAAAGAAGGTCAGAGTTCAGCAGATGACGAAAGAGAAGGAGCAACCAAGGAAAATTAAAGAATCTGGAAAATACACTCTCAAAATCATTAAGGGAAAGAAGGCACTTTTGTTGCTGCACTTTTAAGAAAACCATTTTCAGAAGAGTGTGCACATTTTCTGTAGTCTTCAGACCCAAGCTCTTCCCTGTCAGGAAGAAAGAATTCATTCAGGTAAATTAAAGTCTACCAAAAATATCCCAGAAAATGCCTGCTAGCATACTTTAAGCCCAATGCCCTAAGATCCCAGAAATCTTAGCATCAATATTCTGCATTATACTGCCTTCATTTTAGGGCATTCAGGGCCCCTCATTTAGTAGAGAGTCTGGTAAACCTTGCTGCTGTAGTGTAAATTATGACTTGTATGTTCTATCCCTCTGAAAGAGGCTGCTGCCACCACAGCTAAGCCAGCACAAGGGAGAATGTTTGCAGATTGGAGGTGATCTAGTGCATAGCCAGTCTTTTGACACTTTAGGTAATATCCTTCAGTAATAATGCTGTGCTGATGTAAAATGTTACCACCTGTATATATTCCTCCTGATGAAAGAAACTGGGAAACAGGAACACGTGTCCACAGCTCTTCACTCCAGCGCAAAGCTACTGCCCTTTGCTCTGCCAGCGAAGGTGGCTTTGAGCTAAAACAACAGACAATAACTGGAGTAGCTGAGTGGGCACCTGGTCTCTTCTGATAGCTATGTCAGACCATCCTACTCTGGGTAATGCTGGGCATGATGGTGATTTAAATGATCGTGACTTGAAGGGCTCATCTGTCAGTCATAAGAGTAAAGCTACCTCCATCTGCACTAATTGAAGGGCTTTGTTCTGCAGTAAGTGATATGTAGGCCCTTGTTCTGTCCTATCAACAGCGCAGTCAGGATGGTTGAGCTCCCTGTACTACCACAACTCAAACCCCCAGAGCTTGCTGCTTGGACTGAACCAACCTAGCAGAAAATCTCTTCATTTTCCTTATCAAAACCGAGAAAAATAATTAAGCAATAAAACAGTGCAAGGATCTGCTTGGGAGTGTGTATTGTAATACCCTGGAGAAGGAGGCAGAATTAGCTAACACTGCTAATGACACTTGGTTGCTTTGGCTATCAAGTCCAACAGAAATGATTCCAAGAATCTGTAGGTAAGATCGAAGGCAGTCAGCAGATGAACAGCCCAGCACTTGTTGAAAATGAACCTATGCAAACACATGCATAAACACTGACACAACTGTCTACACTAAATAGTGGTAATTTTTGAACAAGCATCCTGAGAACAAAATCCAGAAAATAGAGTCTACCCCTCTTATTTACCACAAAAGTCCCAAAATGAGAACAAGTCAAGAATTACCAAGTACTTAACATGCAGTTAATTCTGCTAATATAAGAGACTAATCCTATTTGATATACTTTAAATTAGACTGCTGTGAAAATCAGAGGGTTTACTGATCATCCTACATACATTATGTAATAGATTAAGAACTTTGCAGCTCTTTTTACATATTTTTCCTCAATATGAGATCCTGGTCACTGGGAATGATGGAAAATGATTTAACTCAAGTAACAACTCACACACTTCCATCACACACTAAAATGTAACTGAAAAAAAACCAACTCGAGATGCTGAAAGTTTTTAAAAAGGATTAAACTAATTTGAAATATCATCTAAATAATATTTCACCAATAGTTTGCCTTCTTCTTGATTTGATCCCCTTCTGTTTATGAAGTGAGACAGAATTTTGAGTTAAACTATGGCTTGCTGTTTTCCTATAAGACTCCCACATTGTTCAGCACACACTATGCAGTGCTTCCTGGCTAATCAGTTATTCAATCAGTTGTTCAGTAATCAATACTTTACAGGGTATTCACAGCTCAAAGTGTGGCTCTGTGCCTTGTCTATTTCATGTTATTTTCTGGATTCACTCATGGGATGTCTAACATGACCCAATTATCTAAGCAGCCCATCTGAAATCTTCAGAAACAAGAAAGAATTTACTTCATAGCAGCCCATTTTGCAAATGGTGTATTTTTATTACCTCTATTTTATACAACAGGAAATTGAGGCATGGAAAGATTAACACCAAGTATCTCCAATAACTTCTCCTTGAAGTTATTCTGACTGCTCAGAGACAAGTAATACAATTCTTTTCAGAGACTGCTTAAAGTATAGGTGACACATTGATTTCACCTGTGCTTGCAAAAGCTCTGCATTTCTGCAAATCAGACTGAGGTACTCAAGGCGGAGACCATGAAATAAGGAACATGAAAACAAATGATGGCTTATGAAAAATCTATTTTAACTGTCCGGCTTCTCATCAAACAGGATATATGCAGAGGCAAGAAAAACAGTCCTGGTTCATCAGGGTAGCATTCAACTGTCAGCATATGAATCTCCTTTCTTTTTTATTCTAGTTTCTAGTATTAGTCACTATACTTTTTCCATTTTCCTCAACAAACAAGGCAAGGATGCTTTTTAGAAAAACAACTCATCCACAGAACGGAGTCCAGTGGAAAGCAATATTGTTTGAACTAAAGGCCAGAGTACAACAAGTGCATGTAAGAATGTCACATTGCAAGGGCAACCACCAATAATTCATGAGGGTTTAACAAGGAAGCTAGTAAAACCTAAGAAAAATACTTGCTCAATAAAGTAAAAGTCTTGAAATCATGGTCAGCTCCAGAATTAAAACACAATACATCACCCTGCCACTTTACCTAAAATAGAAACAAATAACCCCAACAGATTAACCTTTCCTTTATGGAGAAGCATAGGAAGGGGTTGGGACATCCTTGTTGCAGGTAGATTTTATGAGTATTTCTTCAGAGCAGAAAAGGTTCAAAAAAAATCTTCCATTCCATTCCAGATCAGCATGTGCTCTAACAAGCTGTTATAAGAAGCAGGAAACACACAGGTTCACCAGAGGACCGAGCAAAGTTCTCTGCAAAACAAGTCTCTTAAGGAAAGGGCTGTGCCTGTAACAGAAACAATTTTAACCAAGAAATCCAGTTTTCTGTATTTCCTTATCCTAAACACTGCCTTCTTTTTCTGTTCAGTGATTACTGTTCTTGTAAGAACTGTGATTATTTTTACTGTTTTTCTTTCTCACAGTTCAGAATAGCCACCACTAATTCATCCTGTAACTGACACATAGCTGGGACCAACTTTTCATCAAGATCAGCACTGCATCCACAAAATCTACATGAACACTTATTGTATGTACAAACATGTTCATAGAGAAGCACAGAAGCAAAACTACACAATTTATATGCAAAGATGTGGGTTTCCAAGCGCAGCATTTTACCATTGGATTACAGGTAAAATGTAGCTTCAAACATGCACCCACTTTTAACTAATTTGTACCTTAATGAAGAATAGCAATGAATGTTTACTTCATAAAATATCTGAACCTAGCAGTACTGCTTTCTAACGAACAGTTCTAGAAAGTGTGGTATGTTTTGCATTTACAATTTAACTGTGGTAACACTCAAAAAAGACAACACAGGTACTTGCATTTCCTAGAAATTCACCACAGACTCCACTTCTCTCCATAATTCCCTCTTGACTATCATATTTTATACCATGCCCACATTTATCATGCCAGATCATTTTATGCAGCATGTAATAAAATATCCTGACATATTTCACCTTCTATTTCATAGAAGGCCCACCAGGAGTTATGTCTTTTGTGTTTATCCTTTAATTAGTTGGTATAATTACAGGTTATATTTGAACTAAAAATTTAGAATAATTTTTCAGCTCAAATTATTTGGAACAGGGTAGCTAAGAAAACTATATTTACCTGTATGAGAATTTGACCAGGATGCTCTGACAAATACTGATATTTAAAAATGTGTCAGTCTTGATTTGTACTTCCCTCACTTTTGATGTATTAAAGGCAATGATATTACCCTGTTAAAAACAAGAAAACCAAAAACACAATCCCAAACAACAAAGCCATTCTCCAGTAAATTAAACACTACAACATGTGCAACAACTGCTCCATCTGTCCGGCCAAAGAAAACTAAACCAGGATGTGAGGCTGAAAATCCTGCACATGTATTCTGCTTAACCTTTAGCATAACCCATGTCAGAGTTTAGGGCACAGCCAGCACTTCTGCACCAGGCTTCTTCCCGCCACCCTCTGGGATCGGCCAAGGAGACCTCAGCAGGCTCGACACCTGTGGATGTTCTGCACTCCAGTGCGTGCGGCATTTACCCTCATTTTCACATCATAAAAGCACTCCAACAGGTTGACATGGACCCTTCGAAGGGATTGGAAATGGGAAAAAAAAATCTACACTAAAAACCCCCCTAAATGATGCTGTAGAGCAGCAAGTCATGATCCAGGGGCAACAAAGCTGGAGGTGCCTGTCACTGCCACTCGAGGCTCCACCACCGAGGCCCAGGCCGAGTGGCTTGCGAAATATACATACAGAAATAAACTTATGTGTATACACATTTATATATGTGTATACATATGTATATGTATGTATACATGCATATGTGTGTGTATACATGAATCTATACACGTGCATATGCATATATACGTGTATTTAATATATATGTACAGATATATAATATATACGTGCGTGTACGTGTATATATATACCCACATATGCATATGTGTGTATGCAAACTCCGTTAAAAAATGATATTTAAAAGGGCTTTAGAGCTGAATCAGCGGTGGCTGCCCGAGCCCCCAGCGGCGCCGCAGCACTGCCCCCGGCTCGCAGTGCCCCCTGCGGCCGCCCAGCGCCGGGACACCCGCACGGGCTGCCGGGCACCGCCGCCCGCCCGCTCCGGCGCCGCTCCCCGCCCCTCGGCCACCTCCCGCCGCTTCCCGGCGGCCCCCGGCTCCCTCCGGCCGCGCCTCTGCCGGGACATCGCGCCCTGCGCGGCAGCGGAGACGGGGCCGGCTCCCGATAAAAAAACGTCAGTTACCAGGAGTGGGGTTCGAACCCACGCGGACATGCGTCCATTGGATCTTAAGTCCAACGCCTTAACCACTCGGCCATCCTGGTGCAGATACCGGGATCGCTCCCAGCCGCTCCTACATCCATGGCCGCGCTCCCGCCCGCCCCCTGGGCCCCTCTCGACCCTCGGGGGCGCCCCCTTCCCCTCCGCGCCCCTTCCCCCGCCTTTATTCCCAGCGCGGAGCGCACGGGGCGGCGCGCGCGGGCGGCCTCTCCCGGCGGCAGCGGGAGCAGGGCGGGCAGGGCCCGGCGGGGAGCGCTGCCCCGCCACTGAGCTCTGCTAGGGCCGCGCTGGCCCGGGCCGGGCCTTCCCCCGCCGCTTTCGCTCCGACGGGCGCCTGGCCCGGAGCGGAAGGGGGAGGCGGGGGAGGTGCGCGGAGCTGGCACGGGCCCGCCCCTGAGGGGAGAGCGGGGCGGGCGGCGCTGGGCCGGGGCGGCGAGGTGCGAGGGTTGCGGGCACTGCGGGTCCGGGCACTGCGGGCTCGGTCCTCCTCGGAGTAGGGAGGGAGGGCCGTGGTGCCGGTGTGGCTCCTCGGCGGCGTGAGAGGGCTGCGGAGAGGTTGCGCCCATAAAGCACCGGCACTTTATTACTCCCATGCAAGTGTTTCCTGGAATGTATCCTTGCTCGTAAAAGGAAGGAGAACCAAAACCACTAAAGTCCAAAGGTATTACTTACGCTTATTTAGGAGAAAAGTATTGCAGGGGAAAGATTTTTTTTTTTTTTGGCGGTCGCCACTGAATGCCGGGCCTACGGAAGCACCTATCGTAGTATCCCCGGTTAGTGCCTGCCCTGAGACCTTCCCCTTCTTCCCTGTGTCAGATGGGGAATGGGAAAGTGTTCCTTCGCCTGTCTTCCCCCTGGCACAGGGTCCCACTCTTGCTCTCTGTGCTGTTTTGTAGTGGAGAAAACGAACATCCTTTATCCCACCAAACTTTGCCACCTGTTAGCCTGCCCCTGAAGTATAAAGAACATATTCCATACAGCACAGGCTGAGGACACTGGACTGTGCCAGCCTCCAGCAGACAAGGAGGCATGCAGAGACCGTCTGCTTCTCCGTGAGCAGAACAGGCACACACCCCCTGCTCGGTTGTTGGACACCCTGGTTGCCCACACCCCTCTGTCAGGGGTCTGGGCCTCCAATTTGCAGGTGCCTGAACCCTTAGGCTGTGAGTGCTCAGAGACCTGCAGTATGCTAGGCATGGTTGTGAGGGAAAATGTCTCTCACGTACCATACAGGTGAATCATTTTACATACTTTGTACATTAATTTACATTTAATATACGTGAAGAACAGACGTGAAACTCATGCCTTTATCCTTCATTTTAATTTACATACTTGGGGCCCGTGAATGAAAGAACAGCTCTTCAATTGGAACTTGCCATGCTGTATCATTTGCTTGAAATGGACATCACGCCACAGCTGGCTTTGCTCTCCATTCAGTAGGGTTGTGCCTTTCAGCAAAGTATTGAGTAAAGAAATACCACCAGTTAGGTTTTCCCCTTCTCTATTCACATTTAACACTATTTCTAAGAAACACAGTTAAATGTTAATTTTTCCTGTCAAGGCCTTGTGCCCTGACAATGTATGTGCTGTAAGGTAAGGTGTGATGGTGAAGCTGTCTTCTGTTGGCTGTTACTTGCTTTGGCTGAGCTATTACAAAGACACTGCATAATATGCTAAGAACATGCAATAAGATAGATCTGCTGTTGCTTTCTTACATACTAGAGAAACAAACAGCATGGCTCCATGTTAATACTGAAAATATTAACCATAATCACCACATACAGTATCTATTAAATAATAGTTTCCTGCCTTCATTCTATCTGTGATACTGCCCTAGAAATAGAAGCACAAGCACATGTAGCTCTTTCTTTTTTCAAATCAATTTCAAATAGCTACCGTGGTTCAGGTCTTAAAGCAAGAGCCATGCGTTTACCTGGAGAAGTTTCTCCCAGGACACATGCCAGATATACCTGTGCAAGTGTGTCCATAGTCTGGGTCCTTCACTTTGAGGAAGCAATTGTTCCACTGCCATTTCTCCAAAATTAAACCCGTGACTCAAAAAAACCCCCAAAAATCACGTAAGATGAAATGGAGACTCATACACATATCCTTGAAATTCACCCTTATATACTAAACATTGTATTTTGTAATAGGGAATTTTTTTTTCTTTTTTAGATTTGGGCAGTGCTGTCTTACATTTTTAGAAGGAGCAGAGTGTGCCTGGTTGCCAGTTCTCCTTTGTGCTCCTTAGAAAGGGCTGAGATTATAGATGTGTAGTTGTGTGGGTTGAAGAGCTTCAACTCCAGTAGGAAACTAAACCAAAGTCCTAAAAGCTAAACCATCCCCTCTCACATTTTAACTACTTCACTCCTCAAACCCAGTTTTAGGGTTTGCCACATGAAGGAAGAGAGGAAGAAAAACCTCACCAACCCACAGAATATGCTACACACAGGAGTTGTGCTGACTCTCAGAAGGAAAAGGCAGCTTTCCTTAGAAAGCAGAGGGATGTCCATCCTGCAGCTTCTTTCGTTAGCATGCTAACATGTTGTCAAGCAACTTTTATCATCTTCTTCCACTCATCCTGTGTGGCATGAGTCTATAGTGTGATCAGTTTTTTTCAGAAGTCTGTTTAAATGTGATTAGGCAAGTTCATGGGATGGCAAAATTTGAGTTCTTACACAACTGAAAGACAAAGAAAAACCCACAGTATTAAGCAATGTTTGCAAGGAAGAGAATGATTTCTTCAGTTACTGGAAGTCATTTTTTAAGTGCCTCTAATTCACAATGTGTCTTAAAAATAGTTTTAAAGGGACTTCAGCGGGTATATCAATAATTCTTATTTTCTTCCTTGCACCAACAGCCTTAAGTCAGGAGAGAAAGTCTACAATTACCCTTTCTTTTACCTTTTCATTTCACTCTCTTTCCCTGTACCTCAAATTGAACTAAATATTTGTGTGTAAGTATTGTGTATCCATCAAGATAACCATCAAGATCTTTTAGAACTGCCAGAATAAATTTTATTTTTTTTCTTGCATTAGAGAATCATCTTACAATGCGTGAAACTAATTTTTCCTGGCTTTTTTCGGAAAAAAATTTCTAAGTCTCGCAATATGCAGCACATCTAGTTTACCTTTTTTTTTCCTTTATGGGTATTGTTTAATCTTTCACCAACTCCAGAGTTTAGTCCATCAACTTTTAAACTAAACTTCGACAATGCAAGAAACTGTTCACAGCTACTGATTCAATGTACAACACTCTGCGCTTTCAGTTTCCCTTATTAAATCTTTTATTCCATTTGTAAATATACATATGTGCAAAAAAAGGAATGAACACAAAGAAAAACATGCACATATTTTTTATCAAAAACGTTGGCACATGCTAGGAATATCCAGATCAAAGGAAATACATATTTCATTCTTCACTGATTTATTCCCACATGCTGACCCTCAGAGTTTTAGGGTATTTCTCTACAAATGCACAGTTCCACTGACTTGAATGGCAGTACCTACAGAATAAATTACTTTGTCTTCTTGAGCAGCACCAAAGCTACTGGCAAGGGTGGCAGCTCATCACCCTCCTTTCTCCCACTTCAAGTTTGAACATTGGGTTGTTGCAGAGGTCCACAGACAAGCATAACACTGGTATCATCAGGACACACTGAATATCAAAATACCTCACAGTTTAGAAGATTGGTGTTCCTGAGTCTTCCATGTTATGACAGGGAGGTGCTACAGAAAAAGAGACATTCACTTTCTGAGAAGAGTTATCCATTTAGTTTCTATTTGTGTAAAAGAGCCTGTCTGGCTAAGAAGTATTTCCCACCAGGATATGAAAGCTTGGAAGTTGAATTTATTTTACTGTTTTGTAATATTAATACAAATAGTAAGAAATGTTTGGGTGTCTTTTCACATATAAAAGTAGGGTGCAAAAGAACAGAAGAGGGAAGTTTCATTGCAATCAGTGCAGGAAGATGCACATCTATACACATCTGAGGAAAACTCCCAAATATAAAATACTTGAAATGTTGAAATATGTTTATTAAAATAGGTACAAATAGAATAATCAGTTTAAAAAAAAAAAGTAACTAACTTTTGAAAAAATGTCCTGCATTGTTTCAAAGGATAGCAATAGATCACAGTGTATCAGAAAGCCACTTAGAAATATAGTTGGAAAACCTCCAGAAGCAGGAGCTGTAATAACTCACAAGACCTTATGAATATATGTTTCACTGAAAATGCTCAGTGCTTACCAGGCTGCCCATTTTCTATTCCCTTGTCATACTCCAAACTTACTGGTTTGCCTTGTGTAAGGGCAGACTCCCCTTATACAAAAGGAGAGGTTATTTTTAAGCTCAAAAAGAGCACTAAAATGACATGAAACTCTTTCTTCTTCAGGTATACTTGCTTTCCCAGGAGAATTTCTAACAGTGGGAGAAAAGTTACAATTTTTGTACACCAATAAAACTGCATGTTAAAAATTGTAATCCTTCATCTTATTTAAAATAAATATAATCCCCCCCCATATTCAGTCAATACTTATAAAAAAATAAAAGTCTATTGACAGCCAGTCATTCCATTAAAATGGCTTGTATGTATGTGCCAGGACATAAAATGCTTTCTCAACCCCAGAAGTGTTGTCTGCAATACAGCTGGGTATTTCTGCAGAAGGCCACTGCATGCATCTCTTCTGGCTGAAGTCTTAATTGGCAGAAAAATGTATTAGAAGCATGAAAGCATGGCAGGTTTGAAACCGAGAGTACAGACAGCGGCTCAAGTTAAAAGTGAGTGAGATGCCTCAGTGTTGCAGTGCTTCTAGCCACCTTGACAGAGTTGCAGGCACTCAAAATGGAAAATAGCAGTCACTTGCACACAAATGGAACAAAATGTGCACACTATCATTTAAAGTGCAGTCACTTCTGTTGAGATTCAAGACAGGTGGAAATCAAGTTGAAAGAGAAACTAATTCTGTGTCCCGCTGCTGCTAACAGGCTTGGTATTTTGTCAAATTAGTGGAGCGAAAGTCTGGTCAAATATTTGCATCAAGCAGGCTCCAAGATAGTTAAAGCTAAAAACCCCTGATTCTGTTGTGTACTGTGTTACCCAGGGTGGTAAGGGTTCGCTGCCTGCAGCCTCACCTTGACAAATAAGAACAAACTTACTTTTTGAAACTGTTCATCTTCCCTAGGCCATTCATTCCTCTTTCTTGCCTATCTCAAACAAGTATCACTGCAGAGATCTTCTTGCACCTCTAGTGACAGCAACAGAGTATATTTCAATTAAAATTGGATTAAAAATAGTTTTACCAACATTTCTAGGAGTTCTTAAATAGAACAGCTTTCAGCACTTTTAGAAAAAAGGCAATGAACAAAACCAACTGCAAAATAGCTCCCCTATTTCTAGGGGTTGTCATTACAGAAAAGTCACTGGAAAGAACACATGATTTTGAAGACGTTCAAGTCAGTCTGTGATAGGTCCAGTGTGATAGTCACCTTCTGCAACATGATATGCAGCAGCAGAGGATTGTTCTGAGGGGATGTTTCCTTCTGTATTCCAAAGCTTTTTTTACTTGATCCTTAGCATCTCCTACGTAGTCCTCAACATTTTGCATATTTATCTCAATAACATCAAAAGTGTCTGCCTGTTCCTCCACTAGCAGGGCCACCTGCAGAAAGAGCTCGTGAACTTCCTTAATGCGACCTTCTAACTTCACCAGCTCCTTATGTCGTGTCTCTATCTCATTCAAGGCTGAGCGAGCCCCCTTAACATCCGACAAGAGATTCTCAGAGAAGACATCCCATTTGCCTTGCTCGATCATCTCCTCAATCTGGTTGCCAGAAACGTCTTTGCCCATGATCTCGAGCTGCCGCTGAATTCGAATCTTGCAGTTCTCCCGTTGGTTCATCTCTGTTGCATTGTAATCAAACATAGCATCCTGAAATGTGTGCATGAGGTCAACATAGTGGTTCTTTGCTACCCTGGCAATGACAGACATAGCTCCATATTTTGTAACTGCATCTTCACAGAAATCTCTCATCACCTGCAGTTTCCTGTGGATGCTTTCTCCACGGGCCTTAATGTCTCTGGCAATGCAATTAGTGTCTCGTTTGATGCTGCTCAGACGGCGCATGGAAGTAAGGAAGCGGGTGTTTTGCTTTCTGAGCCGGTTGACATCCGCTTTTAGGTGGTCATTTTCTGTCCGGATGTTCTGTATGTCCTTATGAAGAATTTCCAAGGCATAATCAGTCTCATAAAGGAGAATATCATGGGGTGAATTTTCATCATCCTCACTATCAGAAAACTGTTGGTTGTGTAACCTGGCAATTTCACGCAGCTCACTTAGACGGTCTTTCATCTTGCCTGTAAAACAGAGGAACAGGAGGAATGAAGTAACTGAAATATTGATTTACAAGAGTTGAAAGTTCATAACTAATAACTACATCATAATGATAACTATATCATAGATAACAAACATAACTACATCAAAGATAACTTGAAATATCAGATTTTAAATTTGTTCACAGTATTTTATACAGTAATGGATATCAGATACAAAACTCTGCTGCTACGACGCTTTTCTAGAAAGTACAAAGCTTAGAAACTAAAAAACTGCAAGAGAGAAGACAACAAATCCTGAAGACAAATCCAAAAGAATAATAAGACAATACTCAACCTCCCTCCCAAATGGCAGTCTTTCACTTGGAGAAAAAAACCCAAACCCTTGAAAGGAAGCCTTCAGTTATCAGCATCTGTAGACATGTTAATAACGTAATTTGCTCACTAGAGAAATCTCCTCTAGCTCTTGACCCTTCATTACATCAACTGCCCAAAATGTCACAGTTCCTCTGTCTTTCTAAGATTTCTTTTCCTGGGAGAATAGTAGGAAGCCTCACAGAAACACAAATGGCATTTACCAATACAGTTGGGAAAGAAAAGTTTCAAAAACTGATGTGGAAAAAAAGGAAAAGCAAGTTTCTCCAGATGCTATCCTTGACCATAGGCATTAACAAAATAACACAGCAATAGCAGCATTGTATATGTAAACCCATCTATTCAAACCCCCTCCTTTTTTTTTTTTATGATAGAAAAATTCTATTGAAGGAATGAAGTAACACTGTTGTTACAGATCAGGATCCATTTCCAATGTGTTTGCCTCAGAAATACTTAACTACAAAAAAAAATTCATTAAAAAGCCACAGAATGAGTAATCTGTGCAGACCAGTTACATGGTAACAAAACATAAGTCTCCTATTTGAAATCTAGACCTACAGTCTTTGCAGAAAATAAATTCTGAAAGCTCCAGCAAGAAGCTTGCACTGTTTCAGCAAGCAGGAACATGAAAATTTTTCATCATAAGCGCTGTACATCCCATGACCTCATTTAAATCAATAAGAAAGAGAATCAAGTTAAGAAGGAGCACCAAGTAGGACATCTCTAGATCTCTTTTGAGGATTCAGTTTTGGTTCTCCAGGAATTAAAGTATCTTCACAGCATTTACAAAAATGCTTTCTGCTGTGAACGACACATCCCCTTCATAGGATCATCAGTTATTCCCAGGTTAAGAAAAGTCTCGTGTATATACCCAGTATAATAGGCCTAAATCTAATGTGAATTAAAACTACAAGATTATAATCTGTTTCATGGGACTGTAAGACATGTTAAAGATGTTATGGAAGAGATGGAAAAGATTCTGTCACTGGCAAAGTTTCTCGGGCTTGCATGGTTCATTGGGGGTATATACTGGAATTGAGAAGTGTCACATTAATATTGGAGTTAAAAGGTAAATTTCAACTTACACCTATCCTTTCACAAGCAATGTAAATCAAGCAAGTCCATTAATATCCTGAGAGAAGAGCTTTCATTCAGGAATGCACACATGTAAGATGATTGTTTGAATTTAAAACATAAGCAACATAGATCCAACTCAATCATATAGCGAAAGCTTTAGAAAACAGAAGATTTCTCATCTCCTCCCCAGCAATAATAAAATCAAGACTTTCACCTCATGCCACAACATCAAGATGAAAAATCCGCATCTGAAAGGTAAAAACCAAAATGTGTGCTGCAGCTTAAAAGTCAGGTTTTCAGGTTTACTTGGCTTTAAAACTGTACGGCCAAGTTTGCCTAGAGGCACTGAAACAGTGACAATATCTACGCTTCCTGTCTGAAAATAGACCATTTTCTACACAGCGTGGTGGAAATGGAACAATCAAAGGCATCAAGCAATGTCAGGATTATTCAGATCTCTTCTAATCACTTTCTGAGATCTTTTTCACCTGAAATGTAGATGTGACTCTGAAAACCAGTCACATTCCTTGTCTGACTCCATTTCTGACTCTTACTGGCTTCCCTAGAGTTGATCATTCTCCCATCTCTAGTCTGATCCTTTAACTACCATGTGCTGTGTTCAGCATTTATTCTTTTGCTGTTTAGCATCTACAATTGGAAACAGCAAACAGTTTTGTTTTTTTTTACTTTAAAATGGCCATCCACAGCAGAAAGGTGCCATTCATGTAAACTAAGTCATATGTGTGCAGGACTACATTGAACTTTGTGCTTACCATTTCTTAAACTTCAGAAAAATTAAATTTCATCAGCCTTCCACAGAGAGCAGGCTAACAACAGGCTCAACAATAATTACATTTTGTGTGTGTGCTTGGCAATGGAAACACAAACAGAAAACCACACTGAGTAAGAGCTCCTGCATAATAAACTCATAATTTTGTAAGAGTAGGTCTATCCTTCCTTCCCCAGGAAGAAATGGAGAAGCAAATACACAGTAATTTACACTATGAAAATACTAATGCTGCAACAAGTTCATGTGTATAGTAATTCTGCAGCATCTCTAAAAATACTGCAATTTTTTTTCTTTTAATACAGCAGGAAAGGTTGAAAAGTCAAGCATTAAAAGAAGAGTAAGGAGCTGTGAAGCGTTGCCTCAGATTGCACCACAATGTTGCCAACACACAGGAAGATCATGTGATTAAACACTGGCCTATCTACTATCACTTCCACCGAGTCTTTGCCTACAGTCTGTACAGGCTGAATAAAAATTGTACAACATAAAATGTAATACTCATCATGCAGTTCACGAACAGCTGTCGCATTGACTATGCTACTGAAATGCTGTTCATTTCCTCAGGGATTTCTCCTGCAAGATCTTTGGAAAGCTCCATAAACTCCTAACAGTCTTTTGGGGGAGGGCAGATCCAAGAGCCTCATACTCAGACACAGGTTTCCGTCCGGGGGGGATTAAGGACGACACTATCACTCTTGATCAGTTATGATGCCCGCTTGAGACACATGAAGCACAATTCCTTGTACCTGGAATGTTTAGAAGTCAGCTGCTTCTGACTTCGGTCACTGCTGCAAGCCTCAGGCACTTTGAAAGTATGATCACAGAGTAATGAGCTGGACATCAGTGAATGAACACATGGATCAAGGCCACTGCGAGGAGCTCATCTCCAGTGATGTGGAAAGCATCACACACAGTCTCCATGATTCAGCTGATCCAGTAAAATCCAATTCTAAGTGGAACAGAAGGATCAAGTTACAATTGCACTGCCAATCCTCAGCTTAGCTCTAAAAGCCTACATTATTTGTAACTACATACCAAAATTTACATTCAAGGAGGTCAAAATTAGAGTCTTTTAACTCTGCATTGAGGACCTGTACCCATCAGGGATATGGCTCCACAGCCAAAGTGATTGCACTTTTCTAACAAATGGATGCCATCTATTCAAGCCTGACTTCAGAGTCCTGCAAAATCAGGGACTTTTTGGCATCTTATTTCATTCTGCCTCAGTCCTGTCTTACACTCTGTTTCTAAAGTGCATCACCTAGCCTGCTTCCCACATCAGCTTCACATTTTCAAGATGCTCTTCCTTATTTACATACAGTGCCTGGACAGGATGGAAGGACAGAAAGCAAATAACTTTCTGCCTGTATTTCAGCATCATATTAGGCCACAAACACTATAAATTGCAGAGGACACCTGCTCAGTTTTATGCCTGAACCTGCTCAAGTACTCTGTAGGTTACCTTTTGCAATATATGGCCAAAGACACATGTTCAAAAAGATAATTTATTTGGAGTATTTGGAAACTGCTACCTTGAGAAACAACATTTTAGGATTTTTTGCATAAAGAAAAACAGCAGGTTGGAATGCAACAACACCACAGAGGTCTTTTCCTATTTCAGATTCTCATTTCAAACAAAGGGGAACCAGATCTTCCCAAGAGAGGACAAAACCTTCCAAGCATTCCTTGAATAGTGTCAGGGACAGAACTGACACAAAAAATCTGAAACAAATAAGCATGGGAGAGCAAGGGGGAACAGCAATTTGAAACATTCCAGCTTAACGGATCAGTGGTTAGGGAAGCTGACCTTCTTTATCAGATGCTGTTGTTACTCAGCAAAGTTTGCATCTACTTTTATGTTGATAGGATTGTTTGTAATCAGAACAGCAGTATATTGATACCCAGTATCAATTACCAGCGCTCAATCTGTAAAATGAGAGTCAGCCTCTCCCTTCATACAAGGCCCAGTGCAGCAGTAGAAGTTGGGCTCCCTGGCTGGGAAGTGGCTCTGCAGACAAGGACCTCGGTGTGCTCATAACGTGAACTTGAGAATAAACCAGCAGTATGTCTGGGCTGGAGTAGCAAAGTAAGGAAGAGAAGGGACCTCTCCTGTCCAACACTTGAGAGGCCACAGGGCTCCCCAGTGCAGGAGTCATAGACATGCTGTGGTGAGCCCAGGGGAGGCCACAGAGATGATCAGAGGTGCTGGAGCACCTGACATATGAAGAGAGGCTTGAGAAACATGGGAATGTTCAGCCTGAAAAACAGGAAGCTCAAGGGACATCTTGTTGCTGTCACCAACTGCTTAATGCAAGGCTAGACCCTTCATGGAAATGTACAGCAAGAGTACAAGAGGCAACAGACCTAAGTGAAAACAAGGGAAAAGCAGAGAGGGGGAAAATGAAGAAAAAAACCCCAAACCTTCAAAAACAATAGAAAAGGGGCCCAGAAAAATCTGCATCCTTGAAGATATTAAAAAAATATCCTTGAAGATATTCAAAAGTCTACTTGACATGGCCCTCAGCAACCCGAACTACCTACATGTATTTTGAGGCAGGCTGGATTAATGTCCAAAGGTCTACTCTAAATTCTTCTGGTACTCTGCCTTAGATCAAAACTTTGCTAATTTGAATATAAATATTAAATATATTCAACTACTTGCACAGGTTTACATAAGATATATCTAAAACATTAGAATATCAAGACATGAACTACTCTAGTGTAACAACTGCAAGTGTATAGATACCTTAATTCTGAGAGTGTGAGTTTTAATAGATTAGCT